ATCTCTTTCATCTAGACTGTCTAGATTTCTCTCTGGTGTTTGTCCTGAAACTCCCAATTTAATGTCATTTCTGCATCTTTCAGACGTTTCCAGCATCCTCTGCATGTAGAGGAGCAATTGAGTGAGGCTTCAGCCTCATAAAACCAGGGCACGACGTCTCCAGAGCTCTTGGAGTGCTTGCCTACTATTTTTGGAACTAGCTCTATTGCTTCTATAATAGGAAGGCTTCTGGAAGCTTTCTCCTTCCCCTCGCCCCAAGAAAGTAGCCATTCAGCTGAGCTTCCATTAATTCACAATCTGCATGGCAAAACAAATCTAGTTTTATATGCTGAATAATTCAGCTGTGGCTCATGGATCACGTGGCCCTAAATGCACTGCAGTGTCTTTACCCATACCTAGTAACCCAAGAGCACAGCAGCTGTAGCAACAGTGCTCAGCTACCCTCTGCTTATCATTCGGGACACAGCATGGGTTAAGCAGTGACAGTTAGTGCCAAAGGAGGTGGTTGCTTTCTAGAGAGTGAAGTAATGTGTGATCTGTGTGTTTGTCATCAGCGCTGCAGCAGAATTGACAAATAATGGATTTATGCTTGTTTTGTTCTTCTCTTGGGTCGAGCAGAACAAATCCAGTAAGCCAGTTCTTCCCAGTTGAGCAACAGATAACATCCCTAACCAAATAGAGCAAGACAGCTGAAGCCTTTCAGGAATAGTTGAACAAGTGAAACATTTTGTGATCGTTTCCAGTACAAAAACGGAGCATCAGTAAGGTGCAGTGGAGCTTGTTTTCTTCTTCCCTTTTGAGATTTTCCCTTTTGAGTGGAAAGGGGATAGCTAGTTCATTCCAACACCAAGCACACCTGAAGAGGGGAAAACACCGGAGCTGTAAGTTGAAAACCTTTCATTCTTTATTGACATGATCTTGGAAAGGGAGACAGGCTCTCCCTGTGGTGCTTCATTACAATGAGGACTTGATAATGCAGAAGGTATAGAATCATTAGCATTGGAAAAGACCATCATCAGTTAGTTCAGCTGCCAGTCTCTCACCACTGTGCCCCACCAAGCTGTCCTTCAGTGCCACATCTCCACCTTTCATCTCTAGGGATGGTGACTTCAAGTTCTGACGTTTGACAGCAGTGAGCAATCCAGCTTCAGGGCTTTGGAGCTCACGTGCTTGTTCTCCTCTTACAAGTGAAACACTACATGTTGTGTGTTCAAAAGTTTATTTCCATTGACTGGAAGGAATATAAAAACCCCTTTGAGGGCAGGCACCTTTCACGGTATGCTTCAAGGAGTGGCTTTAGAAAGAAGCTATGATTAAAGAGGAGCTAGAAGTGCATATGTTGAATCCACTGTGCAGAATCCCAGATTCTGGCTGCATTGGATGAAAAAGCAGAAACATTGGGATGCAGGAGCTGTCGCTGGCTGCTTGGTATAGACCAAACAAAGCTCTGTATTATAAGGCCTCAGCGATGGTTAAAGTCCCTTCTGATGACTGTATCTGTGTTAACTCTTCTGAGTTTCTTTTGAAAGACTTGCCTTTGCTTCCTCCTGCCTCCTGAGCATGCTGGTTGTTGCCCAGCTGAGCCAGTGCCACGATGCTGTGTGGCTGGAGGGCATCCCAGAGCCAGTCCCTGTCTGGAGGTGGGCTGCTCAGGCTGGCAGAGGCTGTTCTGCTCTTAGCAACGGCGGGGGTTCTGCTCAGAGCCAGTCCCTGTGCCACTGCCTCCTTCCTAGAAAGCAAATGTTCTCAAGGAGCGAGCCCATCCTTTGGAACACTTCAGCAGTTACTGGTGCTGCTGAAACACGCTGGGCCTGCAGTAAAGCTTTAACTGCTGCAATGCCTGTAAATAACAAAAGCTGTGGTGTATTGCTGCACAGACAATTTCACAGAATCACACAGAATCACAGAATCACCTGGGTTGGAAGGGACCTCAAGGATCATTTCTCCCTGATTCCATGCTATTTAATACTGCAGGAGCAGTTCAGAAATGATGGTAAGGTAGGGAGTTTGGTGAGACCATCCAGCAATCTGCTGTCCGCTGCTGAGAGTGTGATGCTTCCTGCTGCCAAGATCTGAGTCCTTCCCACATCTGATGCATCCAGGCATATGTTTGGGGGCGGTTTCAGGAAGGGAGAGCTAGAAGATTAGTTTCTTATTTTCCTCTTTCTGTTCTGTTTCTCTGTGCATCTGCATTTTGATTTTCAGGCTGCACTCAACTCTGCAAAACTAAGCAAGGAAGGGAAGCATCTCCTGATAAGGATCAGCCTCTGTTAAGAAATGCTGTGGTAGCTAAGAGGCAGTAAGTATCTCTGTGCTGGCTTGGATGCTGATTATTTCTCCTTTTTTTTTTTAATTCACAAGCACAGCTTTTTAGTACTCACACAGTGGGAATTTGTCAGTAGGTTGCTGCCATTAATAGTCTATTTCAGCTCTTTTCTATAGACCAGCAGCTAAAGAAGGGGAAAAAGCATGCTTTGTATGGAGCTGTGTTTTCATCTGGGCTGCACTGTGAACTTGTCTGTATGGATTTTGTCAGCTTTTGCCTTCCTCTAGAAGGTGCTAGGCCCTTCTTTAAATGCATGGCATCCCATGATACAATACCTGTGCTTGGATTGGGGTTGTGCCTACCCCAACTGGAGTGAATTTGCATGATGTTTTTGCTTTTCAGGCTCTGCTATAAATGAGATTTTTTTCCTTATCTTTTAGCTATCTTTTTTTTTTTTTAATCACTTCTCAGTTTCTCTTTTTACGTCTTGATTTATGAAGCAGCAGGACTGCAACAAAACACACGGTGCTCTCAACCAGGAGTACATCAACAGGGTTTAAGCTAGTGAAAAAGTGACTGGCATTCTTAAAACTGTATGTTTGCATTTATTTGGGTGTGGATATAATAATGTTTCTGTGATACAGTTCCTGCTGAGTCTGAAATGCTGGTGTCAGTAAAGCCAGAAGGCGAAGCCAGACAAAAGCTTGGATAGAAGTCAGAATTTCAATGCCTCTTACTGGTGGTTCCTGGGAAAGGAATGATTTTGTTGAACTTCTCATTTTTCATAAAGCAGTGGGCATACGTTTATAGAAATGTATTTTCTAAAAACATCCCAAATGCCTGATTTTTCTTTTTGGTGCTCAGATTTCACTTGTGCAGGTAGGTCCTTGTTGCAGGCTCTGGGTAGTTTAGTGAGGATGGTGTTTAAGTACAAAGCTGTGATGCATGTAGCTCTTAACCATGTCTTCTGTCTGCTGGTCTTTCTGATCTTGTGGAGCAGAGGGCACACTCTCACCTTCCAGCTCTGCCTGTGCAATGCCTCTGTCTTCTCAGTTCAGTGTGTTTCTTTGCATTGTGTAGAGCTCAGCAGAGACTTCTTCGTGAGGGGCTGGAATGTATTTGTATAATATTTTATGTATTATTTTAGGCTCCTGGTTACTCAAACATGGGTGAATGATTAACCTCTCATTTCCCATCACTGGAGGAATCGTGAAATTCCTTTAACACACAACTCTAGCTGGATGTAAACCAACTTCTCTCTCTCTCTGCTGAGAAAATCATCCTTAACCGCTTTCGCCGAGCTTGGCTGCAAAGTTGGAGAGGGCTTCCCAGGCCAGGAGCATTCAGTGGCAGCACTGAGATGTAAGCCACATTGATTTGCACAGTGCAAAGGTGGGTGCTGCTCTGAAGTCCCCAGGTGTTGCAGAATCATCATAGAATCACAGAATGGTTTGGGGTGGAAGGGAGCTTTAAGACCATCCAGTTCCAGCCCCCTGCTATAGCAGGGACACCTCCCTCTAGAGCAGGCTGCTCACAGCCCCATCCAGCCTGGTCTTGAACACCTCCAGGGAGGGGGCATTCAGAACCTCACTGGGCAGAAGGTGATGGGAGAGGCTCTCATCTTGGAGCTGAGAACAACCTGCACTGAATCCCAAATACTGTGAGGCCACAGCTTTATCGTTAGTGTTCTGCGTTACGGCATTGCTGTGCGTAGTCAATCAGAGAGGTGGAAGGAAGCAATCACTAAAGCAGTCTACCAGCAACTCAGGCTTGAATATTCAAGTTTTTCCAGGGCACCTGAACTGCGTCACACGTTTCATGTTCCAATTTGGTGGTGGTTGTTCTTCCTCTGTCAAAGCGTGCTGCAGCACCGCTGCCAGGTCAGCTCCAAGGACAAGGCATAGAAGGCAAGTGAGATACAGAACAGCTTTGTTTTGGTGAAATCTGCTGCCTTATCTGTGCGTGATGCAAAGACAGGGCAGTTTGGAGAAGGTTTGGAGCTTGGTGGTGGCATGTTTATTTTGTTCTCTATGAAGGGGACACATTACTTTGATTAGAACGCTAACGTAACTCGTCTGGCAGCATCAGATCTTACTGCTGGCCTGATGCTGTGCTAACAAGAGGAAAGGGCTTGCGTGTGTGGTTTGCATGGAGCTTGGAGGACAACGTGTCCCATGGGAGGTACCCAGGTAGGGCTGGAGCTGCATATAAGCACAGCAGCATACGTGATGTTGGGGTTTTCATTTCTGTTTTAACGGTGTTCAGAAACTCCAGCTGCAGTAATGGCATGATGTTGTATAAGTTCTTTATATATTTATAAGTTCTGTTTATATTTATGTGTGTGGACATGTCTGTGTGGTGTGTGTTTGTGTATACGCAGAATATCTACGATGTGTAGTGGAGTATTTATATCTATGCGTATTTTCTATCCTTCTTCACCTTCTTTTGGGAAGGGATCCTTGTCCCGATATCTGTGCCCTGCTGTACTCTGACATGATGCTACTTTTCTCATGTTTATTCAGTTTCTAGGTGGGAGAGACACTGTGAAGCTCTGTGCAGGGCGAGGAGAGCTGAGGAGGGAGCCTTGCATGTGAACCAGGATGGACTGGCTGTGACGGCGTGCCTTAGCTGGAGGGGGAGTTACGATGAAGAGTTCCTGCAGAGCTGGCCTCCACAGGGAACCACTGAATTCTGCATCTTCTACCTTCCATCAAGTCAAACGGTACGAGCAGAGCAGCTGGCCTGCCTTTAGCTAAACATGTAGCACCCATTTGGCCTTCTCCTTGCTTTCTTATCGTCTTGTGTGTCACTTAGTTGGTCTCAATCCTTACTTTCTGATAGCCTTTAACTAAAATGTGATGGCTTGAGGGCAGAAATGTTCTTTGACACTGTTGTTTGATAATGACAACTACAGGTGGTACTGTACTTGGAGAAACCTTTGATTATTATAATTCTTTTTAGTAACAGCTGTAAATTAATTTGGGAATGTGGCTTTGAAGTATTGTGGAGAGTAGCTCGTCACAGTAGGCTTTAAAATATGCAGTCAGCTTACAGCCAGTGGAAATGCTGGCAGTCATTGTTGTGGTTTGTCTTACTATGGAGTAAGTAACTGGATTGGCTTAATCTGAGGTTTTGTATTGCTCCTTCTCCTGTGTCTCTTGCTAAGAAGAAATGCACCACTGATTTCAAACACTTGTGCTTATGTGACAATGAAGTGAACGCCTCTCACTGTGCCTTGTTATAGGAACGCCGTACAGAACAACTTGTGCTTATGCAAATGGAAGAACATGCCAGTTTGAACAACAGAAAAATACGTATCTCCTTTGAAACCAAGACTCTTAGACTTCCTCAATCTGAAGGAAGAGAGGCAGCTTTCTCATTTCCAAAATTCATGTGGGTTTAAAGTAAACTTTAACCTTTGTTCCTTGTGGTTGTGTAGGCAACACATACTTGCTATGTTAGTCTCATAGTAATTTAGGGCTGGAAAGGACTCCCTTGGTTGCCCAGCTCCTTGCTTTCCCAAGGAGTGTCTCGTAATCCTTTGGGTGAACTTGTTTTTAGGCTGGACTTCTGTCTTTTCTTCTCCCATAGATTAAACCATTACTGAAGCTGACAGCTCTGACTGTGCAGTTAGGAACGTTTCGATCCCCGGAACGAATGTTCATGCCAGCTTAATTTGAGCTGGTGGTGTTACCTATTTTGTATAAGGACCTCCTCTCGTTTTCAGTATTACCTTTTTTGCTGTGTTCTGTAAACTGCAGCTGTATCCCCTCACCTATGTTTTGCTGTGCCCAGTGGCCCCGTGCTTTCTAGTAGCTTACTGAACAGTGCCTGTTCTTAGTCTAGGTAAATCTCCTCTGAGCCGTGACAATAACTGTGTGCTGACTTCCAAGGGAGACCTTATAGGAGTGCTTTTCAGTGTCACAGATCTGCCTTCATTTGCCTCTGTGTCATGGATGTGTCTTTGCAGCACCTTTTTCAGTGAAAACTGTGCTTCTTGGTGTTCAGCCTTCTGCTGTATCACCATCTGTACTTCAGAATTTTGCCCTGTTTCTGTTAACCAAGTGCTTTGCACCTCATCCCTGTTGGCTTTGCCTTTCATTTCTGTAGCTTTGTTGTTGAGGCCGTTTGTAAGAAAAACCAGTGGTTCTCCAGGCTGATTCTTGAGGAGTGTGTTTGGTTTTGAGGCTGGTGTTTTATTGTTCATCACCTGGGGCTCTCTGCTGTTAAGACAGTTTCTTTGTGCCTTTCAACAGTTTTTTGTCAAATCTGTCTTACCCAGTAGATCTTCGTGTGCCTCCTGAGACCATATGAATAAACCACATCAGAGTGTTTTTCAAGAAAGCTCTTCTTCTGAAAACCTTCAGATTGGTCTGACATCTTGTATTATTTCTTTTCCCTGTTCCCCATGTCTTTGTAATCCCCTTTTCTTTCAAAGCACTGTTTTACACCAAAGTAAGACCAGCAGGCCTGGAGATGCCACAGTCTTTCTCCAATGCAGCACTGCATTCCAGGCAGTATTGATCTGAAGACTTGAAACCTATGGCTACTTCTTGTATCCTTCCTGAAGAAGAAACGTGTTCAGTTGGAGTTTTTCTTAGTTGGGATGTGTTCATTATAATGAGAACACCTTTTGACTCCTGGAAGAATGCCTCTTGGGTCACTCTGTCTGCAGAGAAATCTTCTATACCACAGTGTGGCCAGCTTCATGAACTGGATCCTTTAAGGCTTGACTTTCAAAGAACAAACTGGTGACTTTCCTTCTGTTTCTGCTTATCCTTCCTTTTGAGCTCCTGTGTTTCTTAATGATAGTTCAGTCTAAGGTTAATTCCTACAGCCTTTCACGTGTGCATTCTGTATGTACTAAAGTCTGAATAGTGTCACTGCTGGTTTAACTACCTGATGAAACTTCTTACCCCATTGTATTAAAAACGACCTTGGTCCAGTTGTAATTAATAAAAAAGGGGATGAACATTGTGGAAAGATAATGCTTCCAAAAGGAAGCATCAGAGTTTCTGTAAAGTTAGGGAATGTCTGTCTGGGATGCTTGCTCTGCCATCATCGTTGTGCTGAATGCCTTTGGAGATGCTTTTGGAGATGACTCTGAATTCCAGCTCTTTCAGTTGTTGTCTTCTCTCTTTCTGTCATCCCTGTGTCATCTGTGGTGTGATTGGAAAGTAGGGAACAGAGATCTGAGCTTCCTGAGGCTCCAATGAATAATTGATTGTATGTCATCTGGTAAGTGCCTTCATACAATGGCTGTTCCCAGAGCAATGCATCCTATTTTTCTTGTGTTGACCCACAACATTGCAGGTGGAAATTGATGGTATGGCAGTAGAGATTGAACCTTTCAACCAATATTCTGTTAAATTTTGTTGGCAGATGGGCAGTGGAGGGGCAGCCTGATGAAATGGCATCTGACACAGAAGTGAGTGTGAAGCCAAGGTGTGTCATTGAATTCCTCCATGCAGAAATAATGGCACCCACTGACATTCATCAGTGAATGTTTATGGAGCCATAAAGGAGCACAGTGCTCATCCAGCTCCAACCCCCTGCTGTGTGCAGGTCACCAACCAGCAGCCCAGGCTGCCCAGAGCCACATCCAGCCTGGCCTTGAATGCCTGCAGGGATGGGGCATCCACAACCAAACTATTTGGAGACCAAACAGTGGATGTGGCAGCAGTGACAGTGGGTCACCTCTGCTGGTTCTGGATCTTGTGCATCGTTGGCAAACCTGCAGAGCTTATGGTGGTGACTGCATTGAAAAACAGTGTTTTGTAGCTGAGAATTTGTTCTATCACATAGTGTTAGTGTGCTCTTTGTATCTCTTGGAGTTTCCATGGAAATAAATAGGAGGCAGTACATTCAGAGCGACCTACATCCAAAACACTGGCAAGTCTTGTGAAAAGACCTGTTTAGCTGCGTGGTCTGTGATACTCCTTGCTTGTTCTCTGTTCCTACCCCTGCAGGCATTCAAGGCCAGGCTGGATGTGGCTCTGGGCAGCCTGGGCTGCTGGTTGGTGACCTGCACCCAGCAGGGGGTTGGAGCTGGATGATCACTGTGCTCCTGTGCAACCCAGGCCATGCTGTGTTGCAGTTAGGCAGGCACAAAGGGATTGGGAGCAATTGCTTCAGTCTGAAGGTAGTGCTGCAAGGGAGTGTTTTTTTCAAGAAACCAGATGCCTCCACAGCTGCTACAGTCCCACCAGCCCCTGCTCTGGAGCACCGTGCTTCCCAACCCACCTCTCTCCAGGCTTGGATGCTTGCCATGCACCAGAACAAGCTTCAGTGAGTAGCAGAGTGTCGTCCACCCTGGCTCTTAGCTGGGACTTTCCCACCGCAGCAGGATCTGCAGAATGCCTTTGAAGCAGCTCTCTGTCTGCTCTGCCTGCCCCAGCAGTGCAAAGGGGATGGAAGTGGTACTGGAGATTGCAGCCACTGAGCACTTCCAGAAATAACAAGTGGTTGACCGTGGTTGAACTGACGTGCAGTGCTCAGTCCTTGGTAATTGTCAGTGTTCTTTGCAGAGGAGCAAAGTTTCCCATAAGAGAGATGGGATGCCAGGGAAGAGATGTGCCCTGCCAGAGGTTGCTCTTGGTGTGGCTTTTCATTGCTGCTGCCTTTTTTTTTCTGGCTGGTGCCTTGTGTTTGTGTGTCCTGAGGGGTTTTTCAGAGTTGCACACGGAGTCAGCAGCGCTAGGAAATCTTGCCTACTGGAGTGCTTACAGAACTTCTAGGGGAACTGTTGGGGTTTTGATTGAAATATTCTTCTTAATAAAACCTTCTGGTGCTTTGCCCAGAAAACATACGGTGTGAACGTGCTGTTTGAGAGCATAGTTGGTTTTGTTGTTTTTGCTGGCCAGAGGAAATCTTTGTGCTTCACAGGGCATTTTGGGAGTCCTGATCGAGGCGCAGGATGGGATCTGTAGGCTCTCTGTAGACCCCAGGAAGGACTTTGGGTTGGTGCTGGGTCTGGTCTTGTTGAACAAAGAATCATAGAATGGTTTGAAAGGGACCTTCAAAATCATCTAGAACTTCTTTATGGTGAGAGTGGTGCAGTGCTGGAACAGGCTGCCCAGAGAGCTGGTGGAGTCTCCTTTTGTGCAGGTAGCCAAGGGCTGGGCACTGAGCTGTGCGACCTGTGGTGGGGTGCTGATGTAGTGGGGGGGTTGGACTTGGTCTTTGGAGGTCCCTCCCAACCCCTGCAATTCTGTGAGTTGTGAAAGTAGAGCCTCTTGTATTGATTATTTTTTTTCCTCCAGTTTCTATTGAAGGAAATACTTTGGTTTTTAGGCCGTTGTGATGTAGATGATGTATAAATGCAGAAAGATTCTGGTTGGCTTGGTGCAGTAGCTAATGGATCTTCCCTTCCACACAGAGAGGGGAGGTGTGTGCATGTATGAAGGCTTGCATTTATGCACCAGTCCAGCATAGGAGCCAACTGTAGTGACAACGAGCTGTACTGAAACTTGTAAAAACAGCAGTGTCATTCCAGAACTGTAAGTATCCTGTTTTTATGTGCCTGAGACATGGCTGATTAGAAATTAAAACAAAAAACAACCTGGTCCTCTCACTTTGTTGGCTTAAGGATGGAATAACAGTGTGAAGGCAGCACTGCCAGTTGTTTCAGCACTGATGGCTCTTGGCAGAATTCTCTCTTATCAGCATTTCAAAACCACACATGTGGGATTGAGGATCTTTTATGTTTATTCCATGAAGTTCTGAAGAATCACTGTCTCTAAAGATAGAATGAGAAAGCTTGATGGCTTACAGACTAGGGGAAAAGAAACAGAATTATTCTCAAGTATGACAGGGAATTGTCAGTGACTTCACCTTGTAACAGTTATGTTTGGTGTTTATTAAAAAACTTAAAAACTTAACCTGCAGCTGCCACAGTTCTCTGCATGCCAGCACTGCAGTGGTGCAGAAATAGGGTGGGCACTGGGGGGAGAGGAGAGGATTGGGCTCAGGTTTGCGTTCAGAGCATTTTCTGCTGGAAATCCTTGCTCTGATTCCTGGAGCTAGGAATGAAACGTGCTGCTGATGCATGGGGAAGATGTTCTTCGTCTTTAAGAAGGATGAATTTTGAATGTTCATGGCAAAGTGTGTCAGTGGTGGGGGTGAGGATTTGCTTCTCTCTTAGTGATGCTTTCAGGTAAGATCTGCCACTAAAAGCTCTTCCTCTTGGCCTGAAAACTTGAAGGGAAGTGGCAGTGCCATTCAGATGGAGCTGTCTGTAGCTGTCTGAAACTATTAAAGGAAGGTTTTCTTTAAATCTGGATCCATTAAAACAGTGCAATGAACTGAATGCTGAATTCAAATGAGGCAATTATTCTGGCAGTAAAACTTCTGACTAAGGCATAATTTTGTTATGCAAATTGTAACTTTTCAACCTTAAATGGTATTGTTGGCCTAGCTGGAGACCAACTGAAACACAGGAGGAAATATAACCTTAAATGAGAAATCCATAGTAGGTGAGGCATAACTTTATCCTTTGTCTTTCTCCGTAGACCTGAAATAGCTGTGAGCAGCTGAACCAACTTTGCTGGCTAAACGTGTCCTCCGAGCCCGCTGGGTAACCAGTTCAGTCCTGTTCTCATTCATGTAATACCTGAGCTCACCTTCATTTACAGTTTTCCCTTAATGAAGGGTGTTGAAGTGATTTGTCCTGCTGGATTCCTGAAAATGGTTCGAAGAAAGCCTTTTTAGCACATAATTCAGCTCATCTTTCAAGCACCCTGGCGTGAAAACTCAGCAAGGAAATCTGATCTTTCGTTCCCAGCTCCTGGGATTTCAAGGTGGAAAGCTGTGTGTTGCATTGCCTTCACCTTTTCTTCCCCCAGGGTACTGCTGTGAGCAGCTACCACAGCTTTTCTCCTGGAAGCACCTCCAAAACGCCCTTCTGAGTGGGGAAGGGAAGATTGCTGCCTTTCACCTGCACCTTGATTCTGGCCTGGACACTGACCCAGGTGTGTTGGTGGCCTGACTGAGCAGCTATGGATTGTGGAAAAGTAGGCTCGAGCAAACTTGCAGCAGCCTTGATTTCCTATCCTCTCTTCCTCCTCTATTTAATCACCCCAAAGTTCTATTTTTATGAGGTTATTTTAGTTGTTAGCATCCAACTGAGAAGGGAAACAAAATAGCTCAGTTGCATTCTGCAGAGGAAAGTGAACTGGGAGGTGACCCAATTCCAGCAAGAGCTGGAATTAGCACAGAAGGCATGGGGAGAGAATTAACCCAGCAACTGGGTGTGTGTGTGTGCAGAAGTGGGAGCTCTCTTATCTCCACAGTCTGTTGCTGAAGGGAAGGTGACATTAGCACTGGTTGCAAGGGTGACGTCATGTTCTGCCTGTAAAACTGAAAAGGAAGAGATGCTCGTTGCTGAGCACGTTGTGCTCTTTTGCTGGGTTCCTAGTGATAGGGAATGACCTCGAGTTGCACTGGGGGAGGCTCAGGTTGGATATTAGGGGCTGTTTCCTCTCAGGAGGAGCAGTGCTGCAGTGGCACAGCTGCCCATGGAGTGCTGGGGTCACCGTCCCTGGGGGCGCTCAGAGCCATGGAGCTGCAGCATGAGGGACGTGGGCATGGTGGGCTGAGGTTGTGTTGGGGATCTTGGGGGACTTTTCCAACTTGTGATTCTGCTGCTCAGCAGTTATGGAGGGACTGCATTGGCTGACGCATGGGGCTGTGTGGGAACTTTGAGTTCAAAGTTGTTTTTAGGACTAGAAATGCAGTACCAGAAAGTATTTTGGTGGTGGCTGCAAGGGGAAATTGTTTGGCGTCTGCACCAGCTGGTGATGGCATTGAGTGTGCTGGTTTTAAACTAACAGTCATGGATGATCTTCATTTCAAGAAGTTCTGCATTTAATGTAACAGTTCAGAGATTGCCATGGAAACGCAATCTGTAGTTAGTTCAGCAATGTGCTTATCTGTTCACCCTGGAGGAAGAGCCTGAAGTCACCTGATGATTGAATCCCATGTGGCAGTGCCCTGGGCTTCTGTGTTTTTGAGCTTTGTGTTTGAGATTATGATGGAGGTGCAACAGAAAGGATGAATCGAGTGGGGCCAGGGGCGTAGGGCCATTGCCTGAGTGGTGCTGCTGTTAGGGCAGCAGTGTCCAAGTAATGTCTCCTTCACAGCTCTTAGATCTTAACCATAAAAATGCTTGCTTGGATGTGGTTTTGTCCAGCCAGAGTTGGTGCTTCTGTCACTTTTTGGTTTGGCATCTGATGTGCAGCACAAGGGGGAGCGTGCCAAATCTGCCAGTGTCGATATACTCAAGGATAATAGGCATCGTTGGGTAGATTTAGACTAGATATTAGGAATAAATTCTTTATTGTGAGGGTGCTGATGCACTGGAACTGGTGATGCACTGATTGCTCAGTGTGGCTATGGATGCTGCTCCTTGGAGGCATTCAGGGCCAGGCTGGATGGGGCTGTGAGCAGCCTGCTCTAGAGGAAGGTGTCCCTGCTATAGCAGGGGGTTGGAACTGGATGGTCTTAAAGCTCCCTTCCAACCCAAACCATTCTATGGTTCTGTGATCATTTCAGGTGGTGTTATGAGATTGGCAATCTGCTGGGATGTCTGATCAGCGTACTTACACTTGCTAATTTCCCTTCTTAGCTTTAATTGTCTTCTGAAAAGAGTCCTTGTAGCTGGTAGGTAAGGTCAAGGTAAGCGCTGTGACCCCTGAGTGCCTTACAGCAGGGTTGGGGCTGAACGGATGGAAGGATTGCTTGGACTCTAGAATGAGCCACTGCGTTTGCACCGTGGTCATAACTTAAGCATAGGATTTCACCTCGGGACTCCCTGGACACAAATTACTCTATTGGGAAGATCTCTGCTGTCCTTAAGATTTTAATCATTGCAAGATGCGAGTTGTTCTCCGAGGGCTGACTGTAGCTGCCTGGCTGCTGCTTTTCCTTTTTCATGTGGTTCCTTTTGAGGTGTGGGCTGCTTGATGAAGGGTAGGAGGCACGCTGGTGCCTACCCTGAGCCACCTTCTCTTGTTCCAGGCAGGCATATTTTGCAACTATAATTTCTTCCCTTTCTGTTTTTCTAGGGTTTCTGGTATGCACTTAAAGCCATATCTCAAGTTACAGAGGAAAGAGCGATCAGAAATAAGCCAGGACTCCCTCAGAGGCCCACCTATGACCCATCAGAGGTCACCCCGAGAAGACAAATACGCCACCAACTGCACCAAGCTGAGCGTTTTCCCCAAACCCCCCCTTGTGAGTCCATCTCGAAAGCTTCTGGGAATTATTTATCCAAATACTATGTGCAATATGAACGGGAAAGGTCCGGCAGATGGTCTGAGCGCCAGGGAGAAGAAAAACGTCCTGTCGGCAACGATCCATCAGGGAGAAGAAGGGGAAGGGCCTCTGGATGTGTGGGCCGTGGTGAAGCCCGGCAACACGAAGGAGAAGATCGCTTTCTTCGCGGCCCAGCAGTGCAGCAGCAACAACCGGCTGGGCTCCATGAAGCTCAAAAGCACGTGGGATATCGATGGGAGAACGGTGAAACGCCGGAAAAAAACGGTAGATCTGAAAAAAGCCAAGCTCCAGTTGGAAAGGATGAGAGAGGCGAACGCCAGGTGCTCCCAGCCGGAGCCTTTCGCGTGCGGCATCGAGCACTGCTCGGTGCATTGTGTGAATGACAGTGGTGAGGGGGTGTTCCCGGGCAGGTCCCTCTCCGTCATAGAGATGGTTGCGTTTCTGGAGCAGCGAGCAAGTGCTTTACTGGTAGACTGTGCTAAAACTTGCACGTCCGCCTCCACGGCGAGGCTGAGCGCTGTGTCTAAAGGTGCTCTTCCCAGCTCTGAGCCTTTCTCCGCCGCCGGGCCGTGCGAGGTACATGAGAGGGGAAGCTGTGGCAGCAGCGAGCAGCAGCAGAGCGAGCCGGTGCGCGTCCTGGACATGGTGGCCAAGCTGGAGTCGGAGTGCCTGCGGCGGCAGAGCGAGCGGGACGGCGGCAGCCTGTCGCGCAACAACAGCTTCCGCAGGAACGTGGGGCGGGTGCTCCTGGCCAGCAGCACGCAGCCCGCTGCTGAGCCTGGCAGGGCCTCTGTAGGCAGTGTGGGTGAAGAGCCAGGGGCGGCGGGGGCTGGCTGCGGAGCGAGGTGTGGGGATGCTGGGCTGTGGGATGGCGCTGCCTCTGCTCCGCAGCCGTTCCCTCCTGGGTTGGAGGGGAGCGCGGGTTCGGGACTTGCTCACGCTGTGTTGGCCATTGCGGCTGGAAGGAGCGATGCTGAAAGGCGGGTTGAGCCTCCCAGGGCTCTGCCAGCCCTGTGTCCGGCTGTGGCTGGGGTGCCGGCGGATTCCTTGCCGAGCAAGAGCACGAGTGTTGATTGTACGTTGAAAGAAGCTGTGATCCTCTCGAAGCAGAGCCTGCATCCTGCTAGGAAGGAGCCCTTGTGCATCAGTATATCGGTCTCCAAGAGTGATAGGAAAGAGAAGCTCCCTCCCTCCAGTTTGAGTGAAGACCCCCTCCCAGGGAGGTTGTTTTTTCTGCAGGCTGAACAGAATGCCGCTCCTGCCCCACAGCCGCTGCAGGAATGTACCCAAGGGAAGCCAGGACAAGGAGTGCAGAACGAGGATGAGGAGGCTGTGGAATCTGACAAATCGTGTGTCGGGACCAGTGTCTCTCCTGAGCCATCAGCCCTTTCTGTTCCCCCTCCAGAAGGTGCTTTGCAAGTACTCGATGCTTCCTGCTTGAAACGGCAGGTCTCGCATGACTTTTTGGAGACCAGGTTTAAAATCCAGCAGCTTCTGGAACCTCAGCAGTATATGGCTTTCCTGCCTCACCACATCATAGTGAAGATCTTCGGCTTGCTCCCTACGAGGAGCCTGGTGGCCCTAAAATGCACTTGCTACTACTTCAAGTTCATCATCGAGTACTACAACATCAGGCCAGCAGACTCACGTTGGGTCCGCGACCCCCGCTACCGAGAAGACCCCTGCAAGCAGTGCAAGAAGAAGTACGTGAAGGGGGACGTGTCGCTGTGCCGCTGGCACCCCAAACCTTACTGCCAAGCTTTACCCTACGGGCCTGGCTACTGGATGTGCTGTCACAGGTCCCAGAAGGGCATCCCGGGCTGTAAGTTGGGTCTCCATGACAATCATTGGGTTCCTGCCTGCCACAGCTTTAACCGTGCTCTCCATAAGAAGACCAGAGGAGCGGGAGCCGAAGGAGAAGAGGAATATTAGTGCACATACACTTTCCTGTGAGATGGTTTGGGGTAGGAGGAGATTCTCATGCCTTGTGCTGTTTACAGTGTATATAATTGTCGTGTTTTTCACAGGGCTATGAAACTGCACATACTTCAACACAAGAGCCTTTACCTTTTAGAATAAAGAAAGCTTTTAGTCCATCTATGTAAATAACACTATAAAAACTAATTGTACATACAGAGTCTACAGCTGGCTGAACAACGTAATCACTACAATGCAGCTATGATAGTGTTGCGGCTATAGGTGTGTGTGTTTTTAAGTGTCTTGTTTCAAAATCTGTATATCCTGTATAATATATGAATGTTTCTGAGAAGAAACTCTAAATAGGTAAAGGCCAACCTGGTTAAAGAATCTTCAAACAACTTAACTGGACAACCTTAAAACTAGACTAGAACAGAAACATGACAGTAGTGGTGGCAGTGGAGGAAAAAAAAGAGAGGAATATTATTGTATAGTCAGAATATAAAAGAAGTTCTTGCCTACCTTATCCATGTTGTCTGGTTGGTTTTTTTGGTTTTTTTTTTTTTTTTTTTTTTTTTTTACTTAAATAAAACATGCATTCTAGATCTGCCTTAGCTGCCTTGGTCTTGTGAAAATGCTGTGAAACAGGAGGTGAGCACTTGGTGTTGTGCTGGAGCCCAGACTTGCAGCCTAATCCTATGAAACCAGAACCCTTCCTGGTAGAGCTCTGCTCCAGCCCCTGCCTGCTGCTTTCTGCTGTGTGTCAGCGCTCTGAGGGCTGCCAGAAGCACAACTGAATGGTGGTGATTCCTTGAACTCTTCATGGCGTCTCTTGGAGCGTTTGCTTTTGTCTCCTGCAGTTCTGTCCCTGTGCCCAGGGGGGCTGAAATGTGGGGCAGAACCCCCAGCAGTGGCTGTTCTGCTCTGCAGCCAGGAGGGGGCTTTGGTTTGCTGTTTATGGTGCGTTATTGTGCAAGAGAAGGCAGAGCCCTGGCAGCCTGCGCTCAGCTTTGTAAGGGATGCTGCTGCTCTTGTTGCTGTAGCTACACCTGGGTGCTGCTCTGCCCTCTGCAGTGCCAGCCAGGAGGAAGGAGAGCAGAAAGCTGCACGGAGGGGCAGCTGATGGAGGAGAAGTGGCCTCCCCTGGGCGGCTGGGGCTTGGTTTCATAATGGGGCGCAGGGCCGGGATGAGCAGGACTGCCCTGTGGTTGAAATCATGCCAAAACTGTTGGGATCAAAGGCCACACCTTAATTTCAATTAAGGAAGAGGGAGAAGAAAGAGCTTTCCTGCCCCCTGCCCAGGACTCTGGAAAAGTGGAGATAAATGCGTGGCGCTGACGGGGGTGAGGAAAGTCACTGCTGGGCTGAAATAGAAGCAGCGGAGGAAAATATTTTGTACCTAGATAAGGAAACAGTGAGGTCATTTTGCTTAGAACAAGCTGTGAGATTCTGGTCACCTTCAGTGACTGAGGCCACTGGAGGGGATGGAGAAAAATGAGAATAACAAGCTCCAAGCTTGCGTGTAAACTGCTGAATCCCCTGCATAGAGAGGGGTGTGCCTCAATGGAGATGCCATTGTTTGAAGCAAAAGTATTCTTTCTTTTACCTTGCTGCTGCATATTTTGCTGCTTGCCAATTGCACTGTAGCAGGGCTGGTGCCTGTGATGCTTTGAAGGCTGGAAATTGTCATGTACCCCCCCCAGAGCATTTCAAACCACGAAGAAGTGACAATTCTACCACTTAAAAAAGAAAACTACTGTTAAAGATTTATTGCAATAATACAATAAAACTTAGAAAAGAAAAATAATAATAATTGTATTTAGTTCCATCTCATTGGGAAGTCACAATGGCCAAATCCAGCTGCAGGGATCAGCCTGAGCCAAAACTGCTGTCTTCACCCCACACCAACTGTTCTGCAAACTCAGCTGGCTGCCTACAGAAACCTCCAATGAGCGGACAGTGCTTCCTTCCCTCACCCCCAAACAACCTGGAAAACCAATCCCACTGATTGCACTGGAGGTTAGGACACATGTAACTCTCCCTGAGCTACACGTGTGCAAAACACTTTAAAACCAACACTCTATCCTGTTACACAATTGTTCCTTGAAAGGTCTCGATGCATTCATGCCTTCACAGTGCCACTGTGCACTCTATGATGTGGTGGGAAATAAATTACTTGGAAAACACCATGGTCAAAATGGGGATATGGCTTCAGAAGGTGTTGTGGTGGCTTTTCACCCCCCTCAGAATCCATAAATGGCAGCATCCAAACAGAACCGTGGCCTGGCCATTAGGGCTCTAAGTAACGCAAAGGCAGCAATGAGAGTGATTGAAAGGTGTAGTAAAATATGTATATAGGGAAGCAGGATGGGCTGTGTGATGCTAAAAGCCAGCATAGGGCACTGCTGGGTGCTGGCTGCTCAGACACCAACAGCATCTAAGGGGAAAGCAGTCAGTAGGGCCAAGATTGCAGTTGTCAAGGGGGTCTGTGCTGTTTGTTTAACTTCCCAGAATGAACCTAACTTGGGTTTAGGACCAAGGTGTCTTCACAGAACAGCATACTGTTAGTGCAGAATTAAGGGTCTTCGGTCCAAAGAAACCCCAAATAGATTCCCATCCCAAAGACCAGGAGCTGCTGTGCAGGACAGAGCTGGGCTGTACTACTGGGTGCAGAGCTCAGCAGGGCTGGTGCTGCTTCGCTGCTGTGCACAAGGATGCTGCCTCTCTGTGCTACACCTCTATGTGCCTCACTTGCATCCCCAGCTGCTTCAACAGGGAAGACTGCAATCTTCCATCTGAGAGGGATGGGAGAATGATTTCACACAAATGCCCACGAAGATGTACAACATCCCAGCTGCATGAAATGCAAACCATACAGTGGAAGCCTCACTGAGCAAAACCATCCTTAAGCGATGCATCCCACGAGGCAGAGGAAGTGGAGGAGCACTTGTTAGCAAACCCCTGTCAGCATCGCAGCTCCCGCAGTTCTGTGAGCACGCCAGCTGCCCTGGGAGCAGCGCTGCAGCAAGATGAAATCAGCTCCTTGGCAATCAGCAAACAAGAACAGAAAGAAAAACCCACCAGCAACACAGAATGGAACAGGGTTTAAAACGCACGTGGCACGTAGAACATGGGACTTCGTGAAGCTAGCTTGAAATGAGGCTTCTCTAATATTAAAAATGGCAACACGGTGTAACCCATGAGTCTTATTGCAACAACAGTGTCAGATGTGGGTCTAGCTAAGAGAACATCCAGTGTTTCTTTGGTGTGTGGCATCAAGAGTAAAGAGCATCGTGCCTGGAGAGCACAACATGGTACGTATAGATTGCCTACTGGTGGAGCAAGCCAACTTCCTACAGCAAAACTGGGTCAAGATCCACACCAAAACCTGAAACAAGAGCAACCTGCTGTGTGGATTCTTGTCCATGCTGATTCTCCATATTAAAAAAATATGGCAACAGAGATTAGAAAACATGTTAAAAATGCATCATTGTCATGTCCTGAATGAGAAAGGAAAATTTAGAAATGTGCATTTTTGCATTATGCAAGACAGATTTAAAACACAAACATAAACCCTGTGAGGAGTTAAGAACGCGTGAATCGCATTCGCACCACCGTCCAGACTGAATACTGAGCAGCCTTCCCTCTGTACTCGTTTGGATCCAAACACTACAGAATCTGTTTCTTCTTTAGGAGACAGAGCTGGAGGCCGCTGGGTCCTCCTTTGATATCCAACAATGCAGACAGAACCAAGACACAAAGTGCCAGCACAGAATCTGTCGGAATTACGTAGCTAGCTAATGTACAAAACGGTACCATCACAGTCATCTTGGGTCAATAAAAAGGTTCTTCTGGTTTACAAAATCGAAGTCGGACCTTTTCTTTGTTCCAGGCACTACTTAACTGAATATGTAAGGTTTACTACAGCATTGCTGGGGAGGGATTCCTTCCAAAATCCTGTGATCCTTTTCCCGTGCTCGTTAGCGATGCCCGGTGTACGCCTTAAACCACGAGGTCACTGAGGCAGCAGCAGAGGAGATCATCCCGCCAGCACTGCTGCTGGCGATGGGCTGTGACACCTGCGTGCTCTGGCTCTGCAGCATCTCCACCTGCTGGGAAGGGATATCACAGAACCTGGGGCTCGGCAGATTCTCCCAGTCTGTCCCCAGATCCGTCTCTTCGTCGCTGACGTGCTCATCTCCGCTCTCATCTGTCTCACCGGTGGCACTGGGATCCACAAACTCCATGGAGTCTTCCAGGTCAGCACTGATTTCAAAAGGGCCAGACCTGTGGACACGGACACAGCGCTGTCAGTGCTTCCAGTGCAGCGCAGAAGAGGGGCTGTCCTAGGGGTGCCTAAGCAGCCAGCTCTGTCATGTGCACACGGAACAGACATTAGAAAACCTCTGCCTTTATCAGCTGGCACAGAGAGGCTCCCTGGCTACAACCGCATTGTGACAATGGTAGAACAGTTGGCCAAGGGAGCGATGAGGAGGAACGGCGGAGGAGCTGTTTGGCTTCGGCAGTGCACAGTGAAACACACACACAGCTACTGATAGTAACTCACAGCTCCACTGGTGGAAATCTCAGCTTGATGTGGAACAGCTTTGATTTTTAACGCTAGCTTTGACCGGGCCAAGAATGCTGCAGGGAAAGCTGCAGGTCAGCAAGGGGAAGGGTGTGCTTTACAGCTTGTGGAGATGGTTGGCACAACTCCCTAACAGAGACTGTCCATAGCAGCACTTCATCTCAAGCAAGAGCTGCAGTTCTTTTTCACGTGAGAGTGATAAAACTGTTCACCCAGACAGGTTGTGGAGTCTCCATCACTGGAGATACTCAAAGCCCCCCTCAGTATACTCAAAGCTGGTCCTCAGTAACTGGTTGTAGTTCATTCTGCTCTGAGTGGGGCTTCGGATAAGATCTCCTGATGTCCCGGCCAAACCCAGCTCTGCTGGGAGTGACTCTGAGTTCCCTGCTGCCACTGCCTGGCAATAGAAGCAACTGCACTCTGCCCAGTCCCACAGCCTTGCACCAGAGTGTGGCGAGTCAAAATCTAAAGGGAGGCTATAAGAAAGAAGAGCACAGACTCTCTTAGCAGAGTCTATTGTGATAGGAAGAGGGAAAATGGTTTCAAACTAAAGGGAGATTTAGATGAGATATAAGGAAAAACGTTTTTACAATAAAGGTAGTGAGGCACTGGCACAGGTTGCCCAGAGAGGTGCTGGTGCCCCATCCCTGCAGGCACCCAAAGCCTGCAGGCACCCAAAGTCAGGCTGGATGGGCTCTGAGCAGCTGATGGAGCTGTGGGTGTCCCTGTGCATTGCAGGGGGGTTGGACCAGATGGCCTTGAAGGGTCCCTTGCAACTCAAAGGATTTCTGTGATAACCCAGAGCACCTGCAGAGTTTCAGAGGCCTTTGAGACACTGTCAGACGAAGCGAGGTGCTCACAAAGGCAGGAGAAAGCCGGTTCCCCACAAGCAGAGTCTCTGTTAAACAAATCTAATTCTAAAGCACAAAGGTCTTTCAGGTTCTCAGTGAGACAGGAGCAAGAATTTAGCACAGTTCATGGTGGTTCTCCAACCTTACACGGAGAAGCAGCCTGAAGCAGCCGTTT